GCCGGTGTTTGCCGTTGTGATTTGTGTTTTCTACATGTGCTGGTGGTGGTTGCGCTTTTGTTTGCGGCACAGCGCGTTGCGCTCTGGCTGCGGGCCTCTGCCTCCCATGGGGTGGGCTGGCCCAGGTTGAGAAGGGATATGTTTGACCGTACCTTTCTAATAAATATCAAGGAAGTGGAAACACGTGTCGTGTTGGTTGATAACGTTGCTGACGCTAATGCGGATGCGGTGATGCCAACAGGAATCGTGAGGGGAAAAATAGCATGATAGTGAGTTGAATGAAATAGGTAATACGCATTGGTGTGTGGTTGTTTGTTGATTTAGAAAGATAGTGTGACGTCACCAAAACAACCGCACCGGTTAACTACAACGGAATTCATCTAAATCAACAATCTTTCTTTGTCTTTGTTGTGTATGATTCATTGTAATGCCGTCAGCGTTGCTTAAATGTGTTGGTGTCGCTGTGTCGTATGCCAGGTGTCGGGATATGTGGGGAATGGTTTTGTGCACTACCGGACTACCTGTTGTTTTGTATTTGCACAAACGGAGTTTTGATCCGCCATGGTGGTGTGTGTTTCTGATGGGTGCCCGTGGCGTGGATCAGGAGAACGTGGAAGGCGGGCAGTTGCATGTGGGGTGGGTGTGCGGGATTGGAGATGATACACCCTCCCGTAGTACATCAACGACTGCTGCCGTGCTATTTTTGCGGATTTCTGTGGATTGTGATGTGCGGAGGGTTTCGATCTCTTTGGTTGTGGACACTGTTGTTGCTTGTTACGCTGCGGTGAATGGGTGGCTGTCCCCGGGAAGAGTGCGACAGTCGGGAAGCGGTAGTGGTGGTGGTGTGACCGCGCATGTCGTGTTGCTAGTGAGGTTGGTGGGGATGTTGAGTGTGTACCCCCTTCAAATTCCCTGTGTCTGTGGTGGTCAACATGACGAGGCGGTGTGCCGAAGGATTCTGTTTTCCATTTTCAAATTCATCTCTTGTCTTCCCTTTTCTTTTATTTTTTTTTCTTTTTTGTATTTTGAGAGAACTATACACAAAAACAAATTTGTGAGTAAGGTTTCAAAGAGGATCCACATGCGTCATCTGTTGTTCGCTGCGTTGCTCTTGCTGTGTTGTGCCTACGGGTGCATTGCAACAGCTCATACAAGCCAGGTGTGGCCAGGGCGGGAAGAGCCTGTTTGGGGAACGTATGTCGTTAAGGGTGGTGGTGGGGAAGTCGAAGAAGGGGGGTGGAAAGCCTTGCGCATTGCAGTGGATTCAAGCCGGCTCTTTAATGAGTTTGAGTTTTGTGGCGAGAGCGCGAAGATGGTAACGGACAACGATGATACTAAAGTGGGGGAAAAAGGTCGAGGGGTGTTCGATGTATCGGGGGATGATAAGACTGTAGTTGAGGAATTTGACAAAACGGGATGTGTTGCACTCAGAACTTTCTCCGGAGAGAAGGCTAGGGAGTTGGTGCAGAATGTTCTCCCTGAGGCCGCCAAAATGCATGTTGATCGTCTCGCAATCAAACGTGGAGATGATGGCATTTTGCATATCAGAAGCAAGACAGGATACATACGAGAACCGTGCAAAAGCTATATCCCCGAAAGGCACCGAAGCAGTGGTCTACCCAATGTGGATTTTGTGGTTTATGTTGGTCTTTGGAATGATGGGACAAGTACAACGATTTGTTCTTTCGACGAGAAGACTGGACGACCAACATCTGCCGTTATCAGATTTAATGTGGGTGATCTTGAATTATTAAAGTTGAAACACATCGAAAATGATAGGGAGCGTGCCGTTCGGATTGTTGCACACGAGATTGCACACGGACTTGGATTCAGCACCAAGGCATCCAAATTCAGTGAGTTAATGGGCCCGACGAAGGACAGGAAACACGTGGAGTTGGTAAGTGATAAGATAATAAAAGCGCTAAGGAGTTACGATTGCGAGAAGGCAAGCGGTATGAGGATTGACGATAATTCCATGGATAAGCCTTACCCTCATTTTGATGGAAGCATTGTGAAGAACGAATTGATGAGTCCATATGACGTCATTGACGAGGGTAATGACATGGTCTACAGCAAGTTAACACTTGCCGTTTTTGAGTCTACGGGGTACTACAAGGCGGATTACGAAAAGGCCGAGGTCGTAACAGTGGAACGTGTGGAGGGCTGTAGCTCCCGCAGTGATGAGTAGGCAATAGACGATAGCATCTCCAGGGGGTGGGTGATTTGTTCTGCGATCCTAATTACAGAGAAATGACTTCGGCGTAGACCAGTTTCTTTTGATCTTTCTTGTTCGGGCGCCGTTTTTACGCCGTTCATTTTACCCACCTGGTGATGTGTGTGTTCCCTGATATTACTAACTATTGCTTTTACACATGGGAATGGGATACAACCCCGACGTGTTTTAGTTGCTGTGACTGAAATGTGAAGAATGGCAGGAGGTTCAAGACGCACAAACACGCACACTACCAACTTTGTTTTTCCATGTGCGTGTGTGGACCGTCATCATGTGTGCATCATTCCCACTCCTCGCCCTGTACGAAAGAGACACACCTACTGCAGGGAATTGTGTTCTTGCCTCCTGAACTTGTTCACATGGTGGTCACAGCTTTCTTCTTTTGTTTTGGTTATATTGTTTTTCCCTTGTGTGTGTTTCTCTTCAGTAATAAATGGCACTTCATGTGCAGCTGTGTGTTTCATTATAATTTAATTGCACATTATGTGCAGCTGTGTGTTTCTCTTTTGCGTTCCCGACACACCTTGTGTATCTTGTGTGTTCATTTTTATGGGATGATTTTTTTCTTTCATTACATACAAACTGCTGCAGGGTCATCAAGAATAAAGATATGGGCACGACACGTTCAGCACACAATGATTTTCCGTTGTTAACCTTGGGGTGGATTGGACTGTATCCAGGCATCGCAGCCACAGTAAGTGATGAATTTCTTTTTTATCTTTTACATCTTTGCTCTATTATTGTGTCTGCCTCACGCAGTCACTCTTTTTTTACATTTTTTATTTTGGTATAAAGATTGGTGGGTTGTGGGTGTTTGAGTGTGCCCATCTGTTGTGTGTTCCTTTGTGTGTTTGGGTTGCCACTCATACCGCCCACGTGGTGAAAACACATTTCTTTGTTCTCACCTTCTTTCTTGGTGGTGTCTCTCACGGCATTGCCACGAAGATATCTCTGCCCTTGTGGTGTGTGGCTTGTTTGAGTGACTGCAGCCTGCGGGGAGGGACTGAGACTGGTCCGCTTCGGCTTCACATAATGGATCTGTTTTTTCTTTTTCGGGTGTGTTGATGTGCGGGTGTGGGTGATTGCTTCTCTGATGAGAGTGGCACCTCTGATTGGTGGACCTGTGAGTGCTTTGTGTGCTGTTGGTATCCTGTTGTTGTTGTTCTTTTCCTGTTTTCTTTTCCTCTGTGGGTGTGTGACTCCGTGTACATTTTAGTGAATGCCGTAGTGCCTCTCTGATATGAGCATGTGAGACTGTCATTGTGTGTGTGTGTGTGCACTGTGAGTGGGAAGGACACTTTGTGTTGCTGCACCACTCCACTGCGGCGTCTGTGGGGTTCGCGTGTGAGCGGCATGCTTCGCTTCGGCGGGGCTCGAGGGGCACTTTACGTCCCGAGGCGCTGAACCTTGAGGCCTGAAATATCATGCTCAGGGACTTTGAACTTGAGAGAAAAAGAAGAGTGAGGATGAGGAAAAGAAAGGATGAAACCCGGCAACCAGTCCACGCGCGCAATGCTCGAGGCTCGTTGTCGGGTTTTGCCCTTTTCTTTTCTTTATCCCTCACCCCAAGAAGGGGGAGGAGGAGAACACGACCCCACAACCCAAGGCGGGCGGCCAACTTGTCAGCGTCTTGTGCGCAACAAGAAGAGAGAGAGGTGGGGGGTGGCTCCCTGGGGTGTTTCACTTATAAAATGAGTGGGGTTGGGGATAGTGCGGAATACCTTTCAAACCCATATCTTACTCCGCGCTGAAGTAGGGAAAGAAAGAGTTTTCCACTAAGATGACCCTTCCCCGTTCCCCTCATGACATGGTGCCGCGTGCCACCGAGTAAAAGGTGCTATTGGATGGCCCACGCCATGAACAAAAAGAACAAAGGGAAAAGGGATTCACTACACCCATGATAAAGGCAAATTCTGCTATGGTGATATGGGGGAATGTGTTCTTATGGGACGAAATGATCTTATTATACTTGTTTTTTTTCTTTTCTGCATTTCCCATGGATTTCCTTTTCACACCACACATGGCAGTAGGGGAACGCCTTAACATAAGAACATTTCGCCCCATAAGGGCATATTGCCTCATAGGTATTTTTGGTTTGTTGGCACCCCACCGCCTGCCCCACCGCTACAATGTGTGAAGTATGTTTGGCTT